ATATGACGAAATATATTTTCCTATTTTTTTACTCGCCAAATAAACAGCGGAGAAAATGCACGTCAAACTTGTTCAAAGGCAGAGCCTACTATCTATAGATTTCCGATCAACGCGTCTTTTCTAAAACTTGAATATTATTTCTTTGAAGTACTCGTTTCCTCAACCGAATTTAAATACGCTTTATTTCATTTTAAGAATTAATCCGATTGACACTAAAACTCTATAATATGAAGGAGCTTGAGACTGTACCAATACTTTTCTGGATTTGATATGGATTCCGGTTCCAATTTTTTTTTTTTTTTATGCCTTTGTAATTTTGTTTTTGTAAAGATTGAACTAACTTAAAACAAATAACTGGAAAGGATCTCATTCAAATGATCCGTAATTAGCCAACTTCCAAATGTTTCATAAGCTTAAAATCAATCGTTCTTCCAGGTTTACCACTTAAAAAATATATATACATATTAAAAAAAAGTACTTTATCTCGTCGTTTATTCTACATAAAAAATACTGGACTGAGATTTCAAAAATTCTTGCCTAACAACTTCATCCCTTCATCGACACATGAACACATGAACACCCTTCAAATTGCGATTTAAACACCCATTAAAAAGATTAAAGGGCTGAAAAAATGTGAATCTAAAGATGTCTCATCATCGAGGAGCAGTAAATAAACTTAAATAAGTTGTTGAGAGACTTCTGATAAACTTAAATAATTAAAATCAATACATTTAATGGTAGTTCTGTAACATCTACATCACTAATGTTTTGCTGTTAATTCTAAACCTGCATGATAATCTAATATGAATAATGAGACTTCCATATAATGTTTACTATCTCCTGGTCAGAACCTAAATCACAAATCCCAATCACACACTCCGATCAGCCTAAGGCCAATCCCAAAACTCATAAAATCCATAAATCAAGAACAATGGTAACAAATGTACTGGCAGTTTTTTTTTTTAATTCAATTGAAAAACTCACAAATTATTTCTCTCTTGGACTTGACTCCATCTTTATATCATGAGCTGTTCTTTGAAGGATTTTTTTTTATTTCAATTGAAATGATATTTAATTGTTTTTCTCTTGAAGCTATCCTTTGACAGACATATTTTTTTTTAATTCAATTGAAATGCTCTCAAATCATTTGGAGTTGACTACTTGAGCTGTTCTTTGAGAGATAATTTTATTTTGAGAATAAAAAAAATTGAAACACAGTTACTAACCCGATTTTGTCAGCCCCTCCACGCGTCAGATTTCTATTTTTCAATAATTTCACATAGTTTCTTCCCTTCTTATTCACATTTCAAGTTTATTGCTTAGTGCATATTAGCTTATTGCGTGCTCTAAACTTAGTGTTCTACTAAATGCACTTCCACAGTTACTAATTGATAGCTTTCGATGCCAATATTAATGCATGAATTTGTATATTGTGTGGCAAGCACAATGATACTCTATGCCCAGGGAAGTCGAGGGATTTTCCAACCCAAAAGATTCCCTCACAATTTCACATAATCCCATAATCTTAAATCTTTCTCATTCATCTTCAAGCTGGATGTTTAAGGTAAACTTTGGTGCAATAAAACCATTGAAAAGGCGCATTGGTATTGTAGAATATTAGAACAGATGTTAAGAAAGGGGACTGACAACATCGGATTATTACTGTACTCACAAATTGTTTTTCTCTTGGAGTTGATTCCTTCTTTATATCTTGAGCTGTTCTTTGACAGATAAAATCAATTGAACTAAGATAAAATCATTCATTTCTTAGAGATGACTCCTTCTTTAAATCAGGAGGTATTCTTGTGCAATTAAAATATGTTCCAAAACTCAATTTAAATGCTTACAAATCATTTATTCCTTACAGTCGACTCTTCTCTTGTTTTTAGAGCTATTATTTAACAGATAGAAGCTTTTGAAAACTCCTATTAAGAAGCTCAAATGTTATATCTTTGGGGCTGTCCACATTCCATGTGGACAGTTTTAGAGATATTGGTATTACCGTTTAATGTAAAAGTGACCATGTGAGTTAATACAAATTTTAATAATGATGTTCTCTTAGACACCACTTCATATCAAAAGCATTGATGTTTTCCTTTTATTATTTCGCACAAAACGATGAGAGATTGTTCCCATCTGAAGTGATGGCTCAGGGAAAACTATTTCTGACATTTTTATTAAATCACTAGGTCAATTTCATCTTAAGACCGACAGCAATCTCAACAACCACAATGGAAGCCTTCGCGCGAAATGAATAGCAATAATATAACTAATATTAAGTAAACGACAAGACTCTGTAAATAGTTGCTATATTAATAGTCTGGCGAATAGAGTTTCGATCTATCAAAACGCGGAACAAAAGGTTGATCATTCTTTCCTCGCCAATCGAACGCAAATTACTAGCATCATCCGATAGAGGAAACTTTCCCCAACACAAAAATGGTGTTAGTTTGCGTAGGCGAGCTTTAAGTCATCAGAAAAGGGTTTCCGAAGTTTTGATCGCAATAGCTGATGTGCTCTTTTCTGTTGTTGTTTGTGATTTGCTCGATTGGTTCCACTATTTGACAGGTCAATTGGTTCCCGAGATTCTATCCGCCAGACTATGAATATAGCGACTATACCTGTAATGCAAAGCAGCTTGGGATTGAACCCACGATCTTCTGCTCAGTAGGCAAAAACGGCTACCATTTGCCAACCGCACCCCTTACATTGCAAAGGACCAGAAAAGTAATCATCTCCCTTAGCGATTATCTAAATTAGTGACTCTTTCTTCCTCGAATCAAACATCGTACCAGCACTCATTACGGCGATACGTCAACTCAGTCATACAGTCATTTGTCGAACAGTATAAAATTACGTTTCCTACCACTCGGAAATTTCCACGGATCAATATTTCGAAACCTATTCCACTCGATTTTTGAGAAAAGAAAAAGGTTGCCAATCTAATGAAGCAAATTCCAGCGGTACATTCTGATTGGGACAATTTCGCACTCATTCATGTTGAGGAATGTGGGCTACGACTGAAAATAATGGCTATTGATATTATGAATCTTAACCCTGTCCCATCTGCTGCGTGAACTCAAAATATACGATAGTAGTTAACCCCTCGAACCCAACACCGATGTTGCTAAACTTAGCAATTTTGAACCCAGTAGATTCACATAACAAACGTTAAACTTTCATTCGATGCTGAACCGACCTTCAACTTGATGATCTCGTATGTAATCCTCATAATCTACAACCCAACTCCCACGCAATTCTCCGCAGCACACTCCCCTCCCACAGAGGGCTCGACGAAACGCGTCATCACGTACCGCAAAGTAACCTCGAAAAAAGAGCAGCCTTTTGACCCCCGACCCGGCCCCATAGCAACCGTGGCATGCTACGGTATTTCATGTTTTTCCACCGTCGCCCATCGGTTCAAAAAACCGAAAAACCAGAAACGTGCGGTCCGCGTTCCATCAGTTGTGGCTGCTGCTGCTGCTGCCGTGTGACCGACCGGCCCCGCGTGATACCGTATACATATTCCATTCCACTGCACTTTTATCCACGCGTGTTCCATGATTCCGAAGGCGCGTGAATATCTCGCGCTCTGCACGTGGTATCAAAAGCTACTCCAGCGAACGACGATACAGAGAATCCGAGCGCACAACCCGGCAACGTGCAGCAGCAGCACCACCAGCAAAACAAACCGAAACCAACGATAAATAAAAACGAATAAAAAAATGCTTGCACACATCGAGCATGGAACAAGGCATGGGGCAACCGCGTGAGGTTAAAAAATGTAAACAAACCATCGCACAGCCCGCTATGGTCGATTGAAAGCGAGTCGAATACTCACTCGCATTATTGATAATAGCAGGCCATGTGATTGTTTTGATGCTCTCCTCAATTTCATGTTAGAATGAAAAGGAAAGGGTTGATAGGATTTTCCAAAAGAGTGGGTTCTTATCAGACTTAACTGTCGCCCTATGTGTGGGATGGATATTATTTTAACGGAGGCCAACAGTTAGAGTTTCCCATCGATAGAAAAAAAAAACAACCAAACAAGAAGGTCCTTCGAGGTTCCAAACCAATTAAGAATGCCTTAATTGTCTCCTTTTTTAGTAGGTCGTGAACGGTTACCAAACAAAACCGGTACAAAGGAAAAAATCGTGGGATGAGGAACTTTCTCACGATCCTGCAGCAAGGATTCAGAGCACACAAAAGGTGCAATGGGTGTAGGATACATATTGCAACAGCCTCTCAATAGGCAGCATCAGCAGTGAAAAACGGGGATTAATTGATTATGAATGAAGCATCCCATAACAGACAGGACACAATGTGAAACCTCTTCGCAGTTTTATGTTTCTCTTAACAGTTTCCCATGCTCTGAATACACAAACAGGAGTGTTTTTTTCCTTCGTCCTCTCTCTTCCTTGGTCCACGCATATAATATGAGGCCAGGGCATATCGCCTTTTTATCCTGCGCTACACAAAATATAATCACCCTCGCTAACCATCTGCCCTTTTTTTCGGGGCTTCGAGGCTGTGGGAAAATGTAAAAGATTTGAGTTCCCACGATTTCGAAAATTCTGCTTTTCCTATACTGTTGTTTATTAAATTACGCTCCTTTTTTGCCGTTGTCCTACCCAACTTGCTATCCTTTTTCGTCCCACGCCGCAACCCTGATGCACAAGTGTCGTTCCCTCTCAGGTTTCTCTGATTACACAGTCTCGGATCCGAGAACGGAACACCTGCCCCCTATGCTGAGCCCTGATTCGACGAGCGCGTTTATGCTTTTTTCGTTCGCTCCCTTTTCCCTCGGCTGTCCGCGCTACACTTTACTTCCCTCCTTCGCATGCACGCACCGACGACCCGAGCTGGTGATGATCCTTTTTTCGGCATGCTGCCTCGTGCGAGCGAGTGAGAGGGGTTGTGTTTTTTTGGAAATCCTCCCCCTTGAGATAAGGCCTGCCCGGGTATATAAGGGACTGCCTCTGCTTTCGGATATCATACTCAGTTCAACACTCGATCAGTTCACAAGTGCATTCACTTACCAAGAACGCTAAACGAACGTTTCCAGTTTAACTCGAAACTCACTCGAGAAAAAAAAATACTCAAAGTGCCGTGCCAAGTGCCAACACAGTTAAACGAAAATCAAAAATCAGTGAAGATGCATTCCCACGGATACAACGTTGCTCACAGCAACAACAGCATGAACGAAAACAAATACAACAACATGAAGCTGATGAAGTCCTCTCCGGTTTACAAGCTCAAGAAGATCCTGAAACCGATCGCCGCTCTGCTCAGGAACAAGAAGCAAGCCAAGCAGCTCAAGGACTCCCAGGAACAGCACTACTACGTTCCGGAACAGCACTATGTTCCGGATTACGACTACGATAACGATGCCAACGAACGTTTGGAAGCTCAGCTCCTGGCTGAAATCGCAGAGTGCCATGCCAACGCCGCCATCTTTGTGTACGAAGACAATCGGGTTCAAATTCAACCAGTTGAACCCGAGGAACAGTTCGTCCCAGTACACTTTGCCCGCACCCAAGCCGGTACCTTCTTCTGGACCACAATGGCCCGCGAAGCCGACAGCGATCTGATCCAGCCGTGCCATTGCTTCTCAGATCACCAGGTCCCCCAGCAGGAGTTATGCGATAGATGGGCCCAGGCCTAATGTGTGACAATGACCGTCGCTTAAACTGACAATACCTGCAACAAAATCATGATCTCTTCCATCGTTTTAGTGATTAAGCAATTTACGGATAAAAAATCGGATAAAGCTTTAATTAGTTCTCGTAAGGTTGCCAGCTTTAATTTTAATTGTGATATTAGAATTTTAAGCCTAATTGTGATCCTAATGTCTTCCATTGTTTATTTTTAAAATACAAAAAAAAAACAAAAACAAAACATTTTTACTCTTCTTACTTATTCAAAAAAAATATCACATGGTCCTGGATTTATAAAGAGACTACATCTCAAAATTGGAACAATCGATTGTCTGTCAAAGTCAAAGGAAAAGAGCAGAAGACCTGTCAAATAGATATGATGTTGCCTCTTACCCAATTCAGCCTCTTTACTTATTCACCTATATTCTCATAAACTTTTTTTTAACTTTTTTTTTTGTATGGAAAATACGGTTCGAACGAAACAAGAATATGGGTGATTACATTGGCTTACTTTGATGACGAGTCGAGGTCGAATTTGAGTTGACAGAGTTTCGCAATTTCAAAGTTTGTTTACATTTCACCGCCCAGTCGGTCGGTGGTTGCGGCATCGTTCGTTACCGTGGAAACAGGTTTTCCGTCGCCTACCCTTTTTCACCACCTCTCCCTGCAAGTTTCAGGATGCCAGCCACAACAACAAATTATCAATGATACGACTACTTGTTTTGCGAACCCCTTATTATCATCCAGTAGCTTCAATTATGCGATCGAACGAAAAAGAAACTAAATGAAAGAGAGAAAGGCACAAACGGCAGCAGTAGCGACCGTGGGAATACGCATCAGGTGTTACACGTGCGTTCGCAAACTGATACGCTCCCCGTCAATAATTAAACCGTTTAACGCATGTTGCTGTTGTTGTTATGTTTTGTTTTGGTTTCCATTATCCGGCGCGATGATCGTGCTCTACTAATTGTAGGGTACTTCACTGCTGCTGTTGGTGCCGTTTTTTTTTTTTTGTTTTTTTCCTTTCGGGTGATGGAAGTTAATCACTACACATGGGCCAATTATGGTTCACCTATGCAAACGGGGCTTACGGGATGCCACTGACGTCACACGAGAGGTGGTTAATTAATTTTCCAACGAGCTGGCGCCCGTTCAGTAGAGTAATTATCGCAGTGATGTGCTGCATATGGGACCTGACTGAGGAAACGGTTCTGAATGTTACCTTAAAAAAACTGGATTTATCCACCTATGATGAGATCCAACCTTTCATACGCATTGAATTCATGTGTCGTATGATGGGCTTTTGGCCCTTGAACGGAGCAGTAAATTACCCAAGGTGCACCCGGAACATGTCCAGATGTGTCTAATGTGATACTGGGCACTTAATATTGCACCATTGCACTTGTTTTTGAATTCTCATGTGATTTGAGGTGTCGAAAAATGGGTGATTATGGTCCAAGTCAAAAACTAGCCATTCCCCTGGGGTAGCCGGAACATGTCCGGATGTGTCCAATGTGGTACTGGGTACTGAATATAACCACCATTGTATTTTTATTTGACTTCTCATGTGATTTGAGGTGTCGCATGACGGGTTTGAATCAAGTCAGAAACTGACCACTTCTCCTGAGGTACCCGGAACATTTCCGGTGCGGTTAATTTCGTCCTAGATGCTCAACATGATAACCATTGATCTTCTTTTTGCGTTCGCATGTGATTTGAGATGTCGCATTATGGATTTAACATGATTCAAGCCGTTTATAGACTCACAACCCTTACTCACCAGAACATATTCCGGCCATATATACGGAACCAGTTGACCGATTTCAAAAAATTCAAGAGCTGCTGAGAAACACGTCACCATACATTGGGTAACACATATACATACAGAATTTGATCTCATTTGGAAAGAAACTAACTTGGCACAAACCATTTGAAGTTTATATGGAAATTACTATGGGAAAATCAAACTGTTGGTTCATTGATTTCTAGCCTTTATCCATATGTATTTTTGTGAGAGAAAGTTCTATAGCTTTTCATATGGGAAATTTTCTCAGCTACATCTTCTGAAGATCGTAATTCAGCCAAACGTCAAATTACACAGTTACATATTTATTATTAAAGAGATTATTAATCTTGTGGCATAATCAAGCAGCTGTTTTCTGGGCAACACTATGTTGTGCAGTTTGACGCAGTAACACATAATAGTAGTCATGATTTATGCGCTTCATTTCACGCACCAGAAACGCCAATGTTGCCTGCTGACCAGATAGTTGAGAATGATCATTAGACATTAGCGTCTTGAACCAAGGATAACTTTTGAACCTTACATTTGATAGAAAAGTGGTCTTGAGTTAAGTTGTAGTTTCAAAGATAGAGAAAATTTCATACAACCACATCTGTCATTTTTTTTTTGATATTAATATAGTGAATTTGCTGTGGTATTGCTTCTTCCACAGTAATTCCAATATAAACATCAAATGTTTTGTGCACAGTCCATTTTTAACTAATTTTGGTAAGAATATCAGGACCCGAATTGAAACTGTCTGGGACAAACATATTCTGATATCGTTGAGCTGGGTCGAATGATATATGATCAAGATACGATTACTTCGACGTTGGCCCTAGAAAAACGGCCAACGCTGACCATTTCACCTTTGGCAAAAGTTGTTGCCAAATCAGTGAAAATCAAATTAAATGGCAACCATTAAGGTGAAAGGAGACGTCATTAAGTATCAGATGATCAAAAGCAGTTTTTCTGTTCAAATCCAAAATTACGTTCATGAAAACGTGTTCATTGCATTTAACTTGCCTACTGAACACAGTGAACATGTAGGGGAAATGACGGCTTCGGCATGACAGACTATTTTCGGTAACCCAAATTGAAACACTATTTTCACTGGATTTTCTTACGAAAAAAAACCTCGCTGAATGCATGCAAACGATTATTTATGCTTTCAGCTTCAATTTGACTATATTTTTACCACTGAGAAAAAGTAATCTAGCAGGGTTTTCTTGAAATGAAACACACGCACTACAAATTGTAGCTGATTTCGAGTTGCCGATAATAGAACATCAGATTTACATGCAGTTCAAATGGAACGGTTGCCGAAGAAAAACTGGTTGCCGACAATACTCGCTCTCACTAGAGAAGATTGGAGCTTTGTAAAAGCGTTTCAAAACAGTTTTTGACAATTCTGTCGACTAAAATTGTTAGAGCAGCTGGCAGCAAAAGATTGTAAACAAACCAATACTGCATATGTGTGCTTTCCATAGAGAAAAAGGCTATAGAAAGAAGGTCGCTGCTTAGGTTGCCGAGAATACGTAAATTCTCCTACGTAATTTTGGCTTTGAAGAAAAAACTGCTTTCGATTTTCCAAAAAATAATGACGTCCCCTTTCACCTTAAATGGCATGCTGCGGTTCAGGGATGCTCATGAAATGTATGTATTTGTCTGTATCAGGAATTCTGAATAGTGTGGAGGAAGAGGTTGTGTGAGAGTTATTTCAGAGCTGGAATGCAAATGCTTATTTCACATAACAATAAAGGGTGTCCACGATGAAATTGCCACACTATGAAATTGCTCTAACTTTTTAACCGTTGGGTAGAATTTAATGAAAATTTGGGTGGATTTAGTTCCTAGTGCATTATTTACATCCTGCAAGTTTTAAAGTCCTGTGATCAAAACTCGCGGAAATGGAGTCGAAAGAACAGCTCGTGCGTGATAAAATCTTGCGCATTCATCACGAGAACAAGGATCTCTCGCATCGTTCCATCGCTAAAACGTTGGGAATCGCGAATTCCACGGTGTCGCGAGTGATTAAGCGGTTCGAGGAACGGTTGACCACCGATCGGAAGCCCAGAAGTGAAGGAAAAAGTATTCCGTACAACACCAAAAATCACAACCGCGTAGTTGGGGCCTTCAACCGAAATCCGAACGCCTCCGTTAGGGATGTGGCTAAGAAGCTGCACCTAAGCCGAAGTTTTGTCCAGAAGGCCAAAACTAAGGCTGGGCTTCGAACTTTCAAGGTACAAAAGGCCCCTAATCGCGACGAGAAGCAGAACAAGTCCGCCAAAACCCGTGCCAGGAAGTTGTACCTCAACAAGCTGACGAAAGTTGAATGCTGCATCATGGACGACGAAACATATGTGAAGGCCGACTTCAAACAGATCCCGGCAACCTGTTTTTCACGGCCAAGGATAAGTTCAGCGTTCCGGAGCATGTCCGCACTCAGAAGATGTCCAAATTTGCGAAGAAATTCCTGGTTTGGCAAGCAATCTGCACGTGCGGGAAGCGGAGTGCACCTTTCGAGACCCAGGACACGATGAACGGACAGGTGTACATAAAAGAGTCCCTCCAGAAGCGGCTGCTTCCTCTCCTGAAGGCCCACAACGTCCCAACAATCTTCTGGCCGGATTTGGCCTCATGTCACTACTCCAAGGACGTGCTGAAGTGGTATGCGGACAATAAGGTCAATTTCGTGCCGAAAATGTTCAACCCTCCCAACACTCCGGAGCTCCGACCCATCGAGAAGTACTGGGCGATTATGAAGCAGCACCTTCTTAAACGACCTAAGGTAGTGAAGACAGTCGAGGAACTGAAGAAAGTATGGGTTTACATGCAAAAAACGGTTGATTCACAGGTTGTGCAGAATCTTATGGCCGGGGTTAAGGCCAAGGTGCGGGCATTTGCGTATGGACTGTAAATAAAATACGAGTAAAATGGTAAAATGAAGTTTAATAGTTATTTCTCAATCCCTGAAAATTTGATGGCAATCGGATGAAAACTCGAATTTTGCGAATCAATTTTGTGTGTGGCAATTTCATCGTGGACACCCTTTATTTTGCTCGTGGGAAAATTGGTGTTATTTTCGGGGTAAACTTTGTAATAATTTTCAATTGAAAGTTCTGCATGAACCTCCCAGAGTCCTATGTTTCAATGAGATTCTCGAAAGCTGAGTTTAGACTAGACAAGTCAAATAATCAACTCAGTTGAATTCAGTTGGCTTGAAAAGTTGAGCCTGGTTCAACTTGTTTCAATTAAAGTGAGTTGATCAAGTCAGTTGAATGGCATGGCATACACGTTCA